TATAACAAAATACAAATCAAATGCACAGATTCAATTTCCAGTGTTTTAAAATGTAATGCTGGGGGGCTGGGGATGTGGCTCAAGCAGTAGCGCGCTCGCCTGGCATGCGTGCGGCCCGGGTTCGATCCTCAGCACCACATACCAACAAAGATGTTGTGTCGGCCGAGAACTAAAAAATAAATATTAAAAATTCTCTAAAAAAATGTAATGCTGGAGCTGGGGTTGGGGCTCAGTGGTAGAGCACCTGCCTCGAAGGTGTGAGGCACTGGGTTTGATTCTCAGCACCACATAAAAATAAATAAATAAAGATATAGTATCCATATACAACTAAAAAAAAAATTTAAATGTAATTCTCCTTATGAAAATTATTCTGTATAAGGTTGTATGTGCATTGTATGTATACAAGGCAAGGTGTGGTTTCTCCTTGGCTGCCAGAACACTTAAATCCCTTTGGCCAGTCCTGCTAGAAAAATTCAACAATAACCCTTCCCCCAAGTGATCCCTGGTAAACTCTTATTCTCTCTCCCTCTGCACAGCCACTCCTATATCCACTCCAACCATAGGGACATGCTCCTTCACAAAATCCCCCAAGGTTGCCCTAGGCCTAGCTAAAGCTTCAACTTGGATCCAGCCCATAAATGCCAGTGACAGAATGCATCTGTGCTGGCATCATGGGGACTTTGATAAGATGGGACCACAGCTTTCCTGACCTAGTAAACTATTCCTTCTACTTTTACCACAGTTTGTAAGATCCAAAAGTTGTCAATGCCTGATCTGCATGGATCACCAGGCCACCTTGCAGGCCAAAGGTTTGCATGAAGTGCCTCTGGGGTCTCAAATTGACTTGAACTACCTTCTTCCAGGGCTACCTTCCAAAAGCCACAGGATGATGACATCCACAGGACCATAAGGTGGGGGCACACTCAAAAGGCTTTGGAAACAAATAGCCCTGGATTCAATCCCAGCCTTGTCAGCTGCACAGGTGACCAGTTGTGACTTTAAGATGACCACTTCAGAAAAAGAAATGCTGCCTACCAGCTGGCTTGATCCTCGGGATCTGCAGCCTCAGACCCTCCTGTGGTAGTGAGCTGCCCTCTCCCAACATCAGCTCAGAGCTGAAACTTCAGGAAAACTGGCATTTCTGCAGAGCTTCTGTGACCTCATCTGACCAGGCACAGTAGCCTGTGCATTGATTGCAGACCCATGAAAGTCTCAGTGGGGCCCAGCATGGGGAGACCTTGAGAGTAGGGCTAGATCTATTCTCCCTCCATTCATCTCCTACCTATGCTGTGGCTGGAAGTGAACATTTGTTGATGGAAGAAAGACAGGGAGGGGAGCAAGAGATGAAGCAGGGTCCATGCTCAGTGAGCTCATAGTATAGTGAGGGAGACTCAGCCAGGGGTAGAATGAACATGTGCATCAGACATATTTCATGGGCACTGCACAGGCATATCCAAAGGGATAGAATGAAAGACACTACTACTGGGGGACATATTGTGCACTCTAAGCAAAATCTGATACTAGAAAGTGGCACTAAAGAGAGAGCACACTAGGAGATATTTCCTTACCAAGGTTAAGGTCCTGGAGGGAGCAAGCACATATGTCTCCATCTCAAGCTTGGAAGCCGCCTAGACTCCCCCAGCTCAGCTACTTCATGGAAGAAAATCATCCTCAAAGGTATGGATCTGCATAGGTGGCCTGATTCTGAAAACAAAAACGAATGCTCAATTAAATTTGAATTTCTGATAAACAGTGAATACAATTGTTAATATAAATATGTTCCAGGCAATATCTCAATGATATTTTGGCATTTTTGTCTGAAATCCAAATTCAACTGAACATCCACTATTTTCTCTGGCTACCCCAGCCTAGGTGACTCCTGATTGGCTGGTGTTCTCACCAACTACCTGGGGAGAAGATGGGTCCTCCCTGCTTATGTTGATATTAAGTAATTTTGAAAACTTCATCCCATGAATTCATGACCCAGTGTCTTCAAATGGGCCTTCTCATGAGAGGGCAAGCAAGACCGGATAAAGGGAAAGGACTTCAGAGAACACCTTCGCTGCATGAGCTGCCTGAGCTGCCCTGACAGGCCTGCTGGGGAGGGGGCTTTGCAGGGTTGGAGGTGACAGGAAGCAACAATGTGGGTGACCACACATGCATTGCTAGGGTGCCCAGTGGCACTGAGCTCAGAAGGGCTATGTACTTGTCAGAGCCCCTCGGAGCCCCCACAGCCTTGGAGCACTGAGGCCCCCTCCCCTCTGGCATGGAAAATGACTCATATCTGAAGAATGGGCTGATCAGTGGAGAATTTACCTTTCCAGTAGCATCTGAGACAGGGTACATAGACAGGGAGAAGCCTACCTTCACACCTGCCCAAGGTGTGAAGTGCCTTAGGGCCTGAATCCCAGGCAAGACAGCCAAGTACCAGGCTCTCAGACAGCCTCCACAGGAAGAATAAAGAAGATTAATGCCCCAGGGGGCTGAGGATTTAGCTAAGTGATACAGTACTTGCCTACCATGAGCAAGGCCCTGGGTTCAATTCCCAGCAATGCACAAAAAAAATTAAGTGCCCTGGAAGCTCTTGCTGAGCACAGAGGTGCATGTGTGTGCCTGAGTCTGTCTCTTTCAGTGTCACCATGTGTGATTATCTGTGTGTGTGTGTGTGTGTGTGTGTGTGTGTGTGTGTGTGTGCGCGCGCGCGCCTGTCTCCACATGTCTGCATCTGCCAGAATGTCTGCATCTGTGTTTTGGTGGGTGCACACATGCTTGTGCCCCTGCATACAGCATGTTTTCTTCCTCCATAGCTGCCCCTGGAATCTTTGTCTTTGATGCTCTAGGAGGAAAAAGAGGCCAATTCCACATATCTTGTAGTTGTAGGCAGAAATCCTGGCAGCTCTTCTCTCTAATCAGAGGGTGGGCTATGGGAATTCCCTCAGTCTTGAGATGCAGATGCTTATGACCCTACAGCAGGCAGGGGCAAGTTGGGGAGAGTAGGTTCAAGGTGAGTCACACTCTTGGCCATAGCCCAGACAGCTCCTTGGGCCAAAACTGGGGCTCGTTGGGCTGTGAGATGCAGGAGTTTGGCTTTGTCTGGAACCCACAGTAAATAAACAGGAAATTCCTAAGTGGCTCATGAAAATGACTTGCCAAAGTCTGGGTGAAAATGGATCATTTAAGGAAAAACAGAACTCATAATTCACACTTTCTTTCCAGGCTCACTTTTTTTTCCAAAGAAATGTTTTCATAGAGTTATGAATGGTTTTAAAACATGTACAATAGAAGGATGTGAAAAGTCAGCTTCAAAGGAATGGCATGTGATTTAGCTAAAGAAAACAAGCTGATGCAGGGAGGTGGGGTCTGGACGCCCACACTCAAGGCAGTTGCAGACTGTGGTGTGCTGTCTTTCTGGCTGCCTAGGTGTGTCTGAGCAGGTGTGAGGATATTTATGGAGGGTTTTCATACAGATAGGAGCATACTGTGCACATATCAGAACATCTTGATCTGCTCCATCCTGTTTTCTGGAACAGACACTCGAGACTGGGTAAATGAAGGATACTCTACTGAAGTTGTCCCTATTTGGTGGGCACCAAGTATTTCCTAACTTTTGTCACAAGCACTGCTGTCATGAACAACTTACCATTTGTCTTGGCTCAATTGTGAGCTCGTCTGCAGGATGAAACCCTACAGAAGGAATCACTGTGCCATGTGTGTGCAAGCACACTTTGAGTGACATTACTGGTGTCATGAGGAATGGAAGTGAGCAGTCACCAAGAAGTCCATTCTGAGCACATACCAGCCACAAGGCTACTGACCTCAATTGCATGCTCCACTGAGAGCAGAGAATCAGGGCCAGCATGCCCTAGGACATGTGGACACCTGCACCCAGCATTTTCTTAGAGAGGATTAGGAGAGGAGAGCCGGGACAACATTCTGTCATCTAGTGAGGCTATGTTGGCTCCTATGAGGCTTTGCTCATTTGAAATCTGACCAAGAGGAATAGAAGAGCACCATGTCCAGTCTCCCTATTGACCCTCCAGCACAAGGGGCAAGTTGTGGCTGGTGAGGACCAACTATTCCAAGAATGAGAGTGGGAAGAAGCTGCATTCCCTGCACCTAAGAGAAGAGCAGAGTAACCCAGCTTCAGCATGACTTCTCCACCCTTGTGCTATGATTTGAATATAATTTGTCCCTTCTGAAACTCATGTTGAAATTTGCTACTATGGTGATTTGGGAAGGTGGGGACTTTTCAGAGGTGAGTAGTTCATTAAGAGGGAGTAATACAGTTCTTGCAGGACTGGGTTAGCTGGCACAAGAGCAGGTTGTGATACAGCAAGGCCAGTCTTTATGTTTCATTGTTTTGAACCCATCTGCTTGCCCTTCTGCTTCTGTGTCATGAGTTGAAGCCATGCAAGGCCCTTACCAGAAGCTAAGCATATGCTGGCACCATACCCTTGGTCTTCCCTGCCTCCAGAAACATCAGCCAAAATAAACCTCTATTCTTTATAAATCACTTAGTCTCACGCATTATATTATAGCAACTGAAAATAGACTAAAACTTCATTCTCTTACTCCCCAAGCTCTGGTTTATCCCATTCAAAGTTGGCCACATCCTTGTCAAGCGCCAAGCTACTCTAGGACAAGATCTGCTCTGGACAGAATTTGTGGGTCATAATGGGTAGCTATCGGCTCCAGTGAGAAACCAGGGTACCTTCTTCTTCTTTAGAAGCCTGTGCTGGATGCCTCCAAATACTCAGGTTTGCTATGGGGCTCCCTCCACTCCCATATTCATGCTTAGTGCCCAAAGCTGAGCAAGCTGTAGTCTGGCAAACTGTAACAGTAGAGTGGCCTTATTCTGAGACTGATGGGACTTTGACTCCACATGGATAACCAGACTCATGGTCTGGGCCCCATCACTCATGGTTTTGTCTTCATCCAGGGTGGTCTGGAGACTCTTAAGAACACAGTGATGGCTCTTGCTTCCCACCTCCTATTTCTAGAATTTCCTCCTACAGAACATGTGTCTATTGTACATCTGAATAGTGAGAGAGTTGGTGAGATGAACTATCTCCCTTTTAGAAATCTCCTTTTGAAATTTTGAATACAATAATAAAGCATACGTTCTCAAACCAAAATGTAATCAAAGTAGAATCAATGCCAAAACACAATAGGAAGATCTATAAATACTGAAAGCTAAACAATACCAGTCTAAATAGTTCATATTTTGAAGAGGGAGTCTCAAAGAAAATTTTAAAGAATATGCAAACAATTAAAATTAAGAAGGTTAACGGTACATGTCAACTTGCTTGAGTCACAGGATGCCCAGATAGGTAATTAGACATTATTTCTGGATGTGTCCATGAGATCGTTTCTGGTAGAAGGTATATTTGAATTGCTAGATGCTTAACACAAGTGACTCTCTCAAAGTGAGGGGCATCATTCAATCCAGTGAGGACCTGAATAGAAAAATAAAGTTAGAGGAAGGTTGGATCAACTTTGCATGAGTGCTTGAGCTGGGACATAGGTCTTCTCCTACTCTTAGTGCTCCTGATTCTCAAGCCTTCAGACCTGGACTGGAATCTGCACCATCGCCTCTCCAGCTCTCAGGCGTTTGAGCGACACCATTGGCTCTCTGACCCCCATCTTATGGTTGGTGTATTTGGGGACTTCTCAGTCTCAATAACCGTGTGAGCTAATACTTATAATATTACATCTTATATAATATACATAATACTTATGATATTGCATCTACATATGTAATATTTTTATATGGAGAGAGAGAGAGAGAGAGAGATTCTATTGGTTCTGTTTCTCTGCAGAACCCTGAGCAGTAAAAATGAAAACACAGCTTATCAAATAAGTGGGATGCAGCCAAAGCAGTGCTGAGTGGGAAATTTACAGCATTAAAAGTTTACAGTAGGGGCTGGGGATGTGGCTCAAGTGGTAGCGCGCTCGCCTGGCATGCGTGCGGCCCGGGTTCAATCCTCAGCACCACATACAAACAAAGATGTTGTATCCGCCGAAAACTGAAAAATAAATATTAAAAATTCTCTCTCTCTCCTCTCTCTCTCACTCTCTCTTTAAAAAAAAAAATTTAAAAAAAAAGTTTACAGTAGGAAAAAGAAGAAGGACTTTGGGCATGACAGCTCATGCTGTCATGGACCCACACCAGTTGTGTTGGTCAGCTTCCCATGGCTGTAATGAAAAACCTGAGAAGATGATTAACTTATAAGGAGAAAAGGTTGACTTTAGCTTGAAGTTTTAGAGGCACCAGTGCTTGATCTCAGTAGTAACAGAGCACATCAAGGAAGGAGCGTGTGACAGAGAAAAACCACTAACATCACAAGACAGGGAGCCAAAGACAGAAAGAAGAAGGCACCAAAGTCCTGAAGTTTCCTTCAAGGGACTGTCCCCAGTGACCTAAGACCCCATCCCTAGGCCTCACCTCCTCAAGGTCCTGCCACCTCCCAAAAGCACCACTCTGGGGACCAAGCTTTAACACAATGCTTAACACTCAAGCTCCAAACTATAACAACAACGAAACTGGTGAAAAAAAGACTCCTTAGAGCATCTAGTAATGGTTCTAAAATATACAGCAAAAAATTAATCATTTATTCCCTAAAATCTAAAACTTATTGTAACTCAGTGCAAAAGCAAGAGTCTGGTACTTGAACTAAGATCTGCTACCTCTCTCCTTGCTCCCAACTTTGCCAGACTGAAATTCCATTTCAGATGAAAACAGCCAAGAACACAGGATTCCCTTCCTCCTGGGATCCCAGTTGGAGAGCTACAGCAAATTCCTAGCATCTCTTATCCTGCCTCTAGCTGCCTGAGGCTCAAGGTGCATGTGACTAGGAGGTAGGGCTCCCTTGCACCAGCCACCATTCATGGGATGAAGGCTGTATCTTGGGCAGAGTGTCATTGGTGAGAACTGAAGAGGCAAGATGAGAAAACCTGAAAGCTACTTCCCACCCCTACCCACCAAGTGTCCAGCTCCTAAAGTGGGGTGTCACCTGGTGTCACCCAACAGCCCTACTTCCAACTGAACAGTTATGGCTCAGAGATTATTTAGGAAGGAAAAGCAGGGAACCTGACAAAGAGACACTGGGGTCAGAGCAAATATCAAAACTGATCCCCAGAGTCACTCATGAGGAGCTCAAATTGGATTGAATTAACCTGTAGAGCAATTAGCCCAAAGACATTGTTAAGAGCATCATAGCATTGGCCAGCAATTAATGAAGCTTAATAGCCAGGTGAGCTCATGGAGAGAGAAGAGGGGAGTGCCCAAAGCACTGTCCTCACAGTGACTGTGTGTAAACCTCAGGCCATCCTTCCCTGCCTTAAGGAGCAACAGCAAATGTTGGGGTGGGGAGGAGTGAACAGATTTCCTTAAAACAATCCAGCCATTCACTATACAAATAAACAAGAAAATAACAAGCCCTTTGTGGGAGTTGGGACTGGTACCCAGAATTGCTCCAATATACTATCTAAAGTATTCCAGCAAAAAAATAATGAAACATGCAAAGAAGCAGGAAAGCAAAATCCATACACCAGCAAAAATACAAGAGACCGTCTGTGAGGGACTCAGTGTCAGATTTTGCAGACTTCAAAGTAGCCTTTAGAATACGTTCAAAGAATAAAAGAAAACCATGACTGAAGAAGCAAAGAATGATGGAAAAAATTCATACTACCAGGAATTAAAGAAAAATTATTTTACATATCCAACTGATATTAGAAATATAATAAGAGAATATTAGGAATAAATTTATGAAAATATGGGCTGGGAATGTGGCTCAGGCGGTAGCGCGCTCGTCTGGCATGCGTGCGGCCCGGGTTCGATCCTCAGCACCACATACCAACAAAAATGTTGTGTCCGCCGAGAACTAAGAAATAAATATTTAAAAATTCTCTCTCTCTCTCTCTCTCTCTCTCTCTCTCTCTCTCTCTCTCTCTCTCTCTCTCTCTCTCTCTCTCTCTCTCTCTCTCTCTCTCCTCTCTCTCTCTCTCTCTTTAAAAAAAAAAATTAAAAAAAAAAAATGAAAATAAACTTGGTAAATTAAAGAAAACCTCCAGATACACAATTTTTCTTTTTGAGGTACTGAGAAATGAACTCACAAGTGCTTTACTATTGACCTACACCTTCACCCTTTTTGTTTTTATTTTGTTCTTGTCTTACTGAGTCAAGGTCTTGCTAAGTTGCTCAGCTGGTGTCAACTTGCCATCATCCTGCGCCAGCACCACTGTGCCCAGCTAATATGCAAATTTCAGTGATATTTCTGTGTACTAGGAGCAAACAAATGGAAATGAAATAAAATTATTTACAAGAAAAGAAAGAAAATTTACTGTGAGAATATTACATCAAATAGAGACTATCAACATAAAGTGAGACTTTTTAAATCAAATGCAAATCCTGGAAATTGAGAGTACAATAAGGAAAACAAAATTTTGCTAAATGGGTTGGACAGTACATTTGAACTATCAGAAGAAAGAATTAGCTTACTTGAAGATAAATCAACAGAGAGTATGCAAGACAAAGAACAAAAAGGAAATAAATGAAGAAAAGTTATCAGAGCCTGAGAGATATGTGGGACACCATTAAGCACACTGACAGTCACAGAATGAAAATGACAGGAGAGGAGAGAAAATGGAGAAGGAAAAATACTTGAAGAAATGATGAGTAAATTGGCTGAAAAAACAATACATACTCAGGAAGCTCAACAAGCTCCAAGCCTGATAAATGCAAAGAGAGCCACAAACCCAAATATATACAATAGTACAAACGGTAAATATGCTGAAAGCCAAAGACCAATAGAAAATCTTGATAACACCAAGAGGAAAACAACTTATAACTTACAAAGAAGCTTCAGTATTCCCAGTAGCTGAATTTCCATCAGAAACAATGATGGCCAAAAGGCGATGGGATGACATTCCAAGTGCTGAAAGAAAAAAAAAAAAAAAAAACTTAACCAAGAGTCTTACATCCAGCAAAGCTACCAGTATATTTCAAATATTTAGGTCAAATAAAGCTTCCCACAAAAACTGACAGATTTTATTGCTAACATATTCTACTCTCTCCCTAACAGGAAGTTGTTCAGGCTGAAACAAGTAACCTTAGAGGGTAATTAGAATACACACCCAGCTAGGCACGGTGGCACATGCCTATAATCTCACCAGCTCGGAGGCTGAGGCAGGAGTTTGTGAACTCAATGCTAGCCTCAGCAACTTAGCGAGGCCCTAAGCAACTTAGTGAGGTCCTGTCTCAAAATGAAATGTAAAAAGGGGATGGGGATTTGGCTCCGAGATTAAGGGCTCCTGGGTTCAGTTCCTGTTACACACACACACAAAAGAAAAAGAACATACACACACACACATCACCAGTATCAGTGATTACGTAACCATATTGCGTAACTGTAAAAGACACTACAAAATGCATACTTTTTCTCTTCTAGTTTAAAAAGCAGTTATAGAAGACAATATGTATACAACATAGAGCTGGGCATATAAACATAGAAATGTAAAATATTTTCCAGTAACTACACAGAAAAGGTGAGTGGCAGCAAAACTGAATTGGGATAAGAAAATGATTCCAGATGTGTTTTAGTCAAGTTTTTTGTTGCTGTGACCAAAATACCTGACAAAAACAATTTTAGAGGAGGAAAGTTTATTTGTCACTCAGGGTTTAGCGGTCTCAGTCCAATTCCATTGCTCTGGGATGGAGGTGAGGCAGAATATCCTGGTGGAAAGGGGCGGGGAAAGAAAGCAGCGTAGGACCTGGCTCCTAGAAGCAGAGTTCCCAGGGACAAAATGCAGACCCCAAAGGCAGTGCCTAGTGACCCACCTCCTCGAGCCACACGCCACCTGCCAGTTAAAATACTCAAGTAGATTGATCCAGTGCTTATGTAAAAGCTCTCATAATGCAATCATTCCACTTCTAAACTTTATTGCCTTGCCTTACACATGAGCTTTTGGGGAGTACCTCATGTCTAAACCATAACAAGACGGTAACTTGAATACATGGGAACAAATGTAGAGAGACAGAAATGATAAATAGGAACAGTTAATTAACAGAAGCTACAAATATATTCCTGTTTTCTTCTCTTCAATTAATTAAAAGACATAAATTGCTGTACAATGACATTCACTCAATGGTGGGCTGCATATATATGGCAGTGGTGCCATAAGATTATAATGAAGCTAAGAAATTCCTAACACCTACAGATAGCCTAGCTGTTGTAGTGTCATAATGCAATGTAATGCCCATGGGTACGTGTGGTGCTGCTGCCCTGTCACATAATAGGATAGCACACTCAAATATGGGCAGGACATAACACTTGATAATGATAATGAATGACTATGTTACTGGTTTATGTATTTACAATACTATATTTTGTCATTATTTTAGCATATACTATTTCCACTCATTAAAAACAAATTAATTGGGACTGGGGATATAGCTCAGTTGGTAGAGTGCCTTGTATGCACAAGTCCCTGGGTTCAATCCCCAGCAACTTGGAAAAAAAAAAAAAAGTTAGTTGTAAAACCATCTCAGGCAGGCCCTTTCAGGGGGTGTTCTAAAAAGTGGTATTGTTATCATAGGAGATGGCAGTTGCATGTTTTTCATCTCCCCAGGAGACCTTCCAGTGGGACAGGATGTGGAGTGGAAGACAGTGGCGTTGATGAGCCTGACACTTGCAGGCCTAGGCTACAGGGTGTGTTTGTGTCTTACTTCTTAACATAAAAGTTTCAAAAAGTAAAAAGAAATAAAAAATAAATTTAAAAATAGAAAAAGCTTATAGAATAAGGATAGAAAGAAAGAAAATATTTTGTATGGCTGTACAAAAGGTTTAATGTGTTTGTTTCAAGTTGTTGCAAAAAAAAGTTTTTAAAATTTTAAGTTTATAATTAAAAATTCAAAAAGTTCCAGTATGCTAAGGAAAACTATTAATGAAAAAATGCTTAAGTAAATTTAGTGTAGCCTAAGTGCATGTCATCTATAAAGCCATCTATAAAGCCAGGTACAGTGGTGTCATAATTCTCCACATTGACTCGGCAAACTCACTGACTCACTCAGAACAATCTCCAGTTCTGCACACCCCAATCATGGGAAATGCCTGGTACAGGTGTACTGTTTTAAATTTTTTTTTCTTTTTTTGTACCAGGGATTGAACCCAGGGGCACTTAACCACTGAGCTACATTCCAGTCCTTTTTATTTTTTTCATTTTGAGTCAGGTTCTTGCTAAGTTGCTAAGGCTGGCTATGAACTTGTGATCTTCCTGCCACAGCCTCCTGGGTGGCTGGGATTATAGGCATGCACTACCACACCCAGCCATTTTTATATGGTAGTTTTCTATACCTTTTCTATGTTTAGATTCACCAATACTTATCATTGTGTCAAAATCGCCTATCATATTCAGCACAGTAATGTGCTATCAAGATTTGTAAGCTAGGCACAATGGACTATGCCATAGAACCTAGGTGTACAGTAGGCTATATCATCTAGGTTTGTGTAAGCATACTCTCTGATCACTTAATGATGCATTCTCAGAATTGTCCCTATCATTAAGTGAAGCATGATCATATACAAATTATGACAATGTATCTTTGGGCTTCTAACAATAATATGATATTTTTATGGTTTGGATCTTGAATTTCCTCCAAAATCTCATATGTTGAAAGCATGGTCCCCAGTGCTTTTAGACAAAATTGGATCAAGAGGGTACTGACCTCATCAGTTGATATATTTACCAAATGGATGAATCCTTTGATAGCTAGATGGATTACTAGGAGTTGGAACCCAGTTAGAAGGAGTAGGCCACCGGGGTGTGCCCTGGAAGGAATTTATTTTCTCTCGCTTCTCTTTCTTTCTCTCCGCCCACCATGATGGTGTGCTGCCTTGACATAGGCCCAAAGTGACAGGGCCAAGGGATTATGGACAGAAAACTCTGAAACTGTGACTCAAAATAAATCTTTCATCTGTATAAGTTGTTTATCTCAGGTATTTTGTCATAGTGACAGGAAGCTGAAACAGTATATCAAAAATCAATAGGAGTCAGACATGGTAATGTTTGCCTATAATCCCAGCTGCTCGGGAGGCTGAGGCAGGAGGACTGCAAGTTCAAAGCCAGCCTGAGAAACTTAGCAAGAGATCCTGTCTCAAAATTTTAAAAAATAAAATAAAAGGCAGAGGAAACTGGAGATATGACTCAGTGATAAAGTGCACCAGGTTCAAACTCCAGTACCAAAAACCAAAAACACAACAGGAACATACAGACCTTAAATAACATAATCAATACTGCTGTTTCAATATGCACTGTGATAAATTTCTAGTCATGAAGTGATAGTCTGAGGTTACCTAATAGTGGAAGGGAAAGTCTTAGAAACCAACCTGGAACACAAGGGATGCTCTGCTTGATCCAGATGACAAAGTGTGGCTTTGAACTGGTTATATGCCTTGCTAGGGACAGTGGTGCATGCTTGTGATCCCAGAGACTCAGGAGTCTGAGGCAGGAGGATCGCAAAGTCCAGGCCAACCTAATTAATTTAGTGAGACACTGTCTCAAAATGAAAAATAAAAAGAGCTGGGGATGTAGCTCTGTGGTAGAACTCCCCTAGATTCAATCCTCAGTACCCAAACAAAACAACAGCAACAATAACAAAACAAAAACTGACATTATGCACTTGAGTCTGTCCATTGCTACAGGGACATGCACTATATTCCCTGAAAGACTGTGCCCTTGGCAATGGGTGGGAAAGGGGAGCTCATCATGCCTTTATTGTTTTATTATAACAAGAACATGCGTGTTATTTTGTGGTCAAGGCTTGTAGCCTGTGAGCCATATCTACATCAAATTTAATATCAAACTTGACTGTTTTCTAGCACTTAAGCAATATTCATACAATTGATTATATATTGACTACCCAGGGAAAACCTCAATAAACATCCCAAAGCAGAAAGCATGTTGAGATATTAAAATCTCAGTACAATAATTCTACAAGTTAGTGACTAGGGAAATTTTTAAAATGTACCATATGTAAATCATACCTCAATTTTTCAAGTCTAACCTCTTGAAGTTTCGAATCACTCTCCTTAAGAAATGTCCACTCACAGAGAAAATAAAAACTGCAATCACATAGACAGAATGATGATGAAACTGCTGAGCAAAATATACAGGACATAACACCAGCCTGTTTTTATTTCTAAGAAAAAAAGGAATGACTATAAATAAGATGAATACTCAACATAAGAAGCTAGGAAAACAGAAATGAGACGAGAGGAATGTGTTTTAAAAGAAACACATGCATTAGGATAAAAACAAAATTCAATGAATTGATGAGAATAAAAATACTCAGGCTGAGGGTGTAGCACATGCCAAGCATGTGCCAGACCCTGGATCCCCATCACCACAAAGGAAAAAAAATTTTTAAATAAATAAAGCAAAGGCCTATTCTCATCACCCTGTAGGCCAAAGGGTGGGGCATCTAGGATCCCCTCTCAGATTCCCTCAACATCTAGCTGGACCTTTCCAAAATGTTTTTCTCCATCTGCTGGGACTAGCAGGGTTTGTGGGAGGCTGAGTGTAAATCAGGTCATGGACTGGCGGTATCCATGAGCCAGGGCACTGGACTTCAGGCTTCCTGGAGTTTGTGAAGGAATAATGTTATGAAGAAAGCCTAGACTACCAATTCACCACACTCTTAAGTCCACCCTTCTCCTGTCTAGTTTAACTGCTTAGTGATTTTGGAGAACTTGAGCAGGGCCATTTGTTCCTGACCCTCCAGCATCAGGGTGCAGAATTACCCACTGCTGAGTAGCTCTGCAGATCCTGGCAGCCAGCACAACTGCCCCTACCCCATCACCAACTCCCAAACTTCCAAATAGGCTTCAGTGGTCCAGGGCACAGAAAGTCTGAATTACTTCTGAGAGCAAGTGGGGAC